AATAAAAATACTAAAAAATGCTATTATTCTCAAAATTTTACTAATTGATTATAACTTTATGTTCTAAGTAAACTTTTTCAGCACTCAAAAATTTATTTTTTTTATAAATATATATGTGATAATTGAATTTTCAGCGAATTACTATAAAATTTATATGTTATATTGAATTTTCAGCAAATTCACTTGATTTTAGAGGTAGCGAAAACCCCCAAATTTACGCAGATCAGTTATGACCTATATGAGAGATGTCCAGGGTCCTCTTGGGCATTTAGAGCAGCTAAGTGAAGCTTTGTTACAGAGTCAGTAGAGGATATAGTTTTTAGAAATTTTTGTATATCTCAATAAAAAGAGATACTTAACTACTGAAGATTAATAAAGTGGATACCATTAAAAATAAAAAATAAAAAAAAAATAAAACTTTTGATATCATTTAAAGAAATAGCTTGAAAAGTTTCTGATACAAAATATTTTACTATTAATTTAATACAGTATAAGATAAATTCTGTTATAGCAAGCTACATATATAGATGTTTATAAAATAACTGAATAAGTTAGTATTTATAAACTAGGGTCTAAGAAGCTTAACTTCTTATTGGGTATATAGTTTAGTATATTTAATATACAAGTAGTATTACCAAACCTAATAAAATACTACTGTAACATAATAGCCAAAATTAAAAAAAAACCAATAATAATAAATTTTAATAAATCATTTTTTTTTTTTTACTATACAGTATATTAAATACTAAAATTTTAAAATATATATATTAGATATAGGATGTTTTGTATTAAAAAAGCCTATTTTGTCAATTTTTTAGTATATTTAATAAAAATATTTGTTATACAGTATACTGCTATACTGTACATATAAGTTACAAAAGCTAATTATAATACAAAATAAACTTTAGGTTATATTTGTAAATTATTACTTAATTCGATTTAATTAAAATTATTTATACTGTATATCAAAATAGGCTCTTTTATTACAAAACATCCTATTGTATATATATACTATATATAATACAAAGTACAGTTTTACATATACGTATATACCGGTAATTATAAATTAATTTAAATAAAAGGTAACAAATCTATAAGAAATTTTTGTTAATTATTTGTTTTTATTATAGTACTTTTTATATTTCTATCCAGTACTTAATAGTTATCAGGCAGGCACTGCCTGATAACTGGTTTATTTAAAATTAGACTAAGAAATTGAATTCCTGACTTTAAATCATTTGACCAAATAATTAAGTTATAAGGCATCTGCATGACTGATAACGGATTTATCCGGTAACTTATGACGATAGTCTGCCCAATAACAATTTTATTATTCGGCAACTATGTAATTTCTGCCGAATAATAAATTTATTGGGCAGACGAATCATAATAAGCTGCCGGATAATGTAATATACTGTAATTAAATTTAAAAATTTATTATAAAATAACTAAATTATTAATTTAATAGAGCTAATTTAACACATATATATATACTGTATAAAATAGCCAAATTTAGTATACAATATTATAATATACTGTATATACGTATATTAAAAAATTATATATATATATACATGTGTTTTTGAAACAAGAATACAAAGTTAAGCACTATACTGCAGCTAATAATTTATTATCTGTTGAAAACAATTCAGCGGATTTGTAAAATTTGATATATTTTAAAATAATAGTATTAGAATCTAAAAGTGAGTAATGCCCAGAGAAATGAGTTTTTCTTGGTATCCTTGTATTACTTATTTCTAGAATCCGATACGCAGTATTATAGTATTACAACAGATTCATAAAATTGGATCTTGTAAATTTAGGGGATTTAGATAAATCAAGCTCCACAAATCCACAAATCCGCCGAATTAAGTAAATAATTTAGTACCATTCAATTCGTCCTAATACGATAAATCGAATATATTTTGTCATAATATCCCAATCTCCCTTATGGTATATAAAAATTTTCTTTATGTACGCACGTATATACCTGATACGTACGTATGTATGTATGTCCGGGCAATTGATTTACACCAGCCAATTATTCAAATTTCTATCGCTAAGATTAACCAATGGTCATCAGCCATTTACATCGCTACTGCATCTAATAATACATCCCGTATATTACCGATTAGAAGCAACCCTTTCGGAATATATACTAATAAAATTAACCCGAATATAAATAGACCACCTTTTCGTTTTAGCCAAAAAAAAAAAAAAAAATCTCAGATTGTTGCAACGTTTTGTTTGCTTTTAATCGGTAAAATATGGTACAGGCAAATTTTCCTATTGGTTAGAGATACAATTAGTTAGAAAGTATATAGTTAATTTGTTGGTTTAGGCGTCCTATTAATTAGAAAGGTGGTGTAGACGATCGCATCTTGCAAGGATATACTCTAATTTTAATCAGAAAATTTGCCGATTTTTGTATCACCGTTACTATACTGTACATAATAAAAAAATATAAGATATAAATAGCGTTCAATCTGGTTATAATTTTTTTTATATACTACTACTTATTTGTACGTACGTACGTTCGTACATATTCCATCTTTGACTATCATTACTAAGCTAGTGAGCATCAAAAATATTTTTTCACAAAGACGAATTACAAAGATAGCTTTTGAACGAGTTAGATGGCGAACGTTTCCTTGAACATTTCTAGTGAAGATCAAGCCGTTTCAGAAAGTATGCAAGAAGTAACTCAAGACTCAGTGGCTTCAAGCAGAAGAAATTCTGGTTCGAGTAATTCATATACACCAGGCCCTCGATCATCAACCCTACGACCTCCAATGCTTAAAAAATCACGTCTACGTAAAACTTCTTTTCAAGGTGATCAAGTAGCTCCAGATATGCGCCCAGTATTACATCTTTTTGATGTTTTTTCAAGAAAGCTCTATATGGAAGGTTATCTATGTAGGCAGGATATTTTATCTAATAAAGGTCATCAATCTACTAGTAATATATGGTCAGAATTTTACGCAGAATTGTGCGGTTCTATTCTAAGTCTTTGGAAAATAGAAAATAACTTTGATTCAGGTCAGCCAGAGATTGCCCAAACTCCAATTATTATAAATGTATCTAATTATTCCACAGAAATTTGTTCTCCAGTACTGGATGATGGAATACAGAGGAATAATGTGTTTTTACTTAGTGCTGGTCCAGGTGACAAATTTTATCTTCAGGCTGCAAATGATTCATTACTTAATTTATGGGTTAGTGCTATTCGCTTATCATGCTACGAAAGCTCGAGATTACAAGAAGTCTACACTGCAACTTTACTAAAACGCACAGGATTGAGAGAGCTTCTTTCTGGTACAGTATTAGTAAAAGGTAAATTAGAAGGTTATCTTCAAGTACAATTCACTTCTACTGATGAACCAAAAAAGTATTGGGTGGTCGTGTCTGATCATCGAGCCGAAGACAAAAAAAAGAAAGCTGACTTGGCTTTCACAAGAGGGCAAGCTTTGTTCTACGAAACAAAAAAATCAAAAAAACCTTTTATGACATTAGCCAATGTTCTTAAAACTTATGCAATCTATCCAGAAAATCCTACAATTATTGACAAAACTATTTCTTTCCGTGTCGAAGGAAACCTTTTCCCAGCAAAGCAAACTGATAGTAAACCTGGAGATTTTGTCAATTTATCGGCCGAGTCTATTAATGAAATGGCAAAATGGCTGATAGGATTTTTCGATAGTTTCAAAATGTATGGTCGACCAAAAGAGTTATTATATGATTTTAAAGATCCAATTTCTCCTTTCTTTGCTGTCCCAACTGGAAGAAATAATGTAAAATTATTTCTTGATCTTCACGAAATAGAACATGTAGATATGCGTGAACCTTTGGCTGATGTTAAGGCTGCCTTTGCTGAAGTGTTACGACAATCATATCAAAATCAAGATGGATCTCAACAAACTCTTTCTGTTCCTAATCATCAACAATCCTCCAATATTCTAAAGACATTGAGCTCATCACCACAAATTGTTACTGACGGATCGAATGATAATTATATTCGTCAAAGAGTATTATCAAGTGAATCATTATCTTCTGGTCCTAATTCACAATTAACTCATAAAATATCGACACAAGCATCGCATTCTTCACCTATATTAAGTTTAACGCAAAGCACTTCAAAAGAGTCTGTATCGTCACTAACTAATAATGGATTGACATCAGGTAAAGGCAAAAAGCTTAAGCAAATTGCAAGTAGTGACGAATCGGAGGGAGATAACGGAAAAAATAGGGACCAATTGGAAAGTGATAATGAGGAATCGGAAAGTGATGATGGAGACGATTATAACGATTATAACGATTATAATGATCCTGCAGTTTTAAAAAATACACAAGAAAATGCAAAGGTTGCTAAAGAACATAGTGAAAATAATTTAACTCTTACAGTTGATGAACATATCAGATTGGGATCTAGTTTTAATTCTTTGAGTGGTGGCGATCTTATGTTAGAGATTATGAATGCTGTAACAGATCGCAACGATACTGTCAAGTCATCAGAGGAAACTAATGATGTTTTAAAGAAACAACCTAAAACTAAAAGAAACGTATCGTTCAAAAATCTGTCTACAAAGTCGGGCATGAACCATAAAAAAAAAATTGCACCACTTCCATCGGAAAGTGAAGATAATGAAGAACTTTCATCAGTAGGGACAAAGAGTGATGAAAATGATAGTGACGGAAGTAGTGAAGACATATCTGTAAACAAAAACGAAGATAGGCATGCTAATGTCAACGTAAATAAAAAGCGCAACACAGGTAAAAGACATATAAGGACAGCCCCTCAACCATCGGATAGTAGTGATAACGAAGAAGAGGAATTGATGGAGGAAGATCAACAGTTACCGAAGCCATATGGATCCAATCGGTCGAAATCCCAAGGCAAACAAGCAAAAGGAAAGAAAGATGAAGAAGAAATTGATTCGGAGAATGAGGCGCGTGTAGTTCAACCGCTTAAGAATAAACCTGGTAATCAAGGTGATTTTAAAGGTTCTTCACAATTTAACAAAAATTCAGGAGTCCAACAACGAGATAATTATCAATTCGACTTACCTAATGTAGATGTCAATCTAGGTTTAGATTTCAATTCACTATCTTTTAATGCATCAGTTACCACTGAAAAAAAGGATCTTAAAGCACAAGAATTGACTTCAGAGGGAGAAACTTCTGATGATGAAGTTATTAATAGGACGAATAAAGTATTTAAACCAACTAAACGGAATAATAAACTGAAAATAATAGCCAATCCATCAACGAAATCAAGTGACGCAAGTAGCAGTGATGAAGAGAAAGAGCCACTTGCAATATTAGTCGATGAAGTTGGATTTAATAGATCAAATTTCGGTACTTCTTCAAGGTCCGCATCTCCTAGTTACCCTCCAGGTCAACGATGGGGTCAACATCAAAATTACAATGGCTATTACGCAGATAACATGAATTATCAGCCTGCTGATAATAGACGAAACGTTTTTAATCACCGTGGTGTTGAATATTATGATGATGATCATAGTAGCTTTTCGGGTAGTCGACCTCGGTCATTTATTGGTCCTGGACATATCCCTTCAGGTCGGCGTCGTGTAAGTGGTGGGCAAATGGATTATTCGGATGATGGGTATTCAGACGACCGTGGAAATCTATTCCCACCACCCAACCATTTTCGACCGAATAGTCTTTTGGATTCTATGCCTCAATCACAACCCTCTGCACGTGAACAGGAGCAAATGGCTCGTGAAACTGGTGCACCTTTAATTAATTTGCAAGAAAAGCCAAAAGATCCACAAACTGGATTGGTGGGTGCCATTACAGCGAGAGAGCAACACAGAAAAGCTATAGGGTCTGGGTTATTAGCGAGGAATGCAGAAATAGAACGTGAAAGAGCATTTGATAGAGAACGCGAACGAAGGTTGATTGAACAGCGTCAGCAGATGATGTCGGAAAGAGAAAGAGATTATATGCATTCGCGTCAGTCACACATGGGTCCAAATAGATATTATGCTAATCAGCAGTATTTGGAGCCTGTTGTTGGACAGAGAGGGTCATATTATGAAAGTTATGGGACGGATGATGGTTATGATGATGATATACCATTAGGTATTGGTGGATCTGCCGTATCTTCAGGACATTCAAGACAATTACGTGGCACTCGAAATGCCGGTAGACGTCGTGATATTGATTAAGTAATTTAACAATGATTCAATAAGAGTTTAATAGATAACTACAATAGACAATAGATAGGTATAGTTCAAAATTTGGTATATTTACTATTTTCAATTTTAAATCATCCAATAAAAATGTATTTTAATAGATTTTATTGAATTGTTTAGAATACACTTTAAAATATTTTAAATGATTATATATATATTGGTAGTGGGTAATTGAAAGATTATTTTTAAAAAGAGACATTTTACAATATATATTGTATATTACTTTTTTTTTTTTTTTGCTCAATTTGAATTTAATAATTTAATTATAATTTGAAAAAATAATGGTAGTTAATCAAAAAAATAAAAATAAAGCTTTAAAACTAAAATTGTTTATTCTAATTTTAAATATAAATTATTACAGTATATAGTAAGTTATTTAAATATTTTTATTACTAAATCGCATCTTAAATAAAATATTTTATGTAGTCTTAATGTAAAAACTTGATAAAATGTAAAAACTTGATAAAATTTAGTTAAGAGGCAATTCATAATTAAAGGGTATAAAAATAGTAAATTTTATACGTAATAAAAAAAACGGAAGCTTATACTATAAGATTTATATATAGTTTTTTATAGTAAAAATCTGGTTGTCTTATATAAAAGCTTTTCCTAATGAACTACCCAGCAGTACCGACTCGGTAGTTCATTAGAAAAAGTTTTTATATAAGACAGCCAGATTTCTGTACTATAACAAACCCCAGCAAAATATCACGAAGATACGGTATATTTGAGAAATGCCGTATGCCGCATAAGTGTTGTATGCCGTATTATTACCGTATCCCATCATTCATTCACCTTAATTTAGTGGGCGAATATAAAAATAATCTATTAATCGGCGGATTAAAAAAGTGATTCATGTCTACAAACACTTATTTACTACTAACTAATACCCTACAGATTACCTTTCTATTCGGCCAATGAATATTACAATAATTTTTAATGATATAAAAAATATATAATATTTGACAATGATTAAATAATAAAGACAAGCATGATATTCGGCATGTGATCCCAACAAGTAAAAATGAGAATATTAATTGCATCAAAGAATAAGCATTATTTTGAACCCTGAAATAACACGCATCCTAATGTAGCACATAATTTATTGTTGCGATAAATGATATACAGTCGACACTCCATATGTGCACTCTCTATAATTGCACTTTACATATTGGGGCTTCCGATATACTAATTAATCAAAGCTATGTAAGGTATTGTAGTAAAATCCAATAACACAGATTTGTGCATAGATCGACAAAATCGTTAAGGGTAGAGTGAACATAGATCAATTTTTATATAATTTTAAAATAAATAAGAGATAACAAAAATCAGGTAATTTTTTAGGGAGAGGTGGTAAAAAATATTAAAATTATATATAAAGACCTGATTAGATATATATAAAGAAGGGGATATGCCTCTAATAAAAAAAAATCAGGTGATAAATAACACTGCTCTTAACAAACCTTAAAATTATAAGATTACTAAACTTATTAAAAGTAATAAACAAAAGGGCGTTATGCAATCAGCCAATCAAAATTGATCATGTGCAATATATGATTTAGGATCTTCTTTAGTATAGCTGAGCAATATAGAAATATTATAATATAAAAAAACTCTAACCCTAACCCTAAGCTAACTTTAATGCAAACTATAAACTTACCCTAACTCTAACTATTTCCAAATTTGCTTAAATTAGGTTGGATAGTTATTTTTTATTTTATTTTTTTTTTAACAACGCTGCCTCTTTATTACTCATTATAGTGGAATGTACACGAATATACATTATTTTTACAAGATTTTCAGTACATCATTGGTTACAAATTTCTAACTAGTATCTGTTATGCTGTCATCACCGAGTTCATATCTCAAGCTACCTTTTAAGGCATTGCCGAAACCCGATTGTATCTCAAGCCACAGCCTTCCTAATTAGTCATTTCCTACCACAGATATCCCAGGTCCTTTCCCCTGCGGTATTTCAGTTCCCGAATTTTTAGAATCATCTTGAGTAAGACGTATCAAACCTTATGACTCAGTATAGTCGTATTAACCCCAATTTACCTCACTATTGGTTCTCATATCCTGTGAGATTTGCTTACCCCAGCTCTGGATGCCTCTAAATCATTGGATGGCAGGATATTTCTATTTTGCTAGATATCACATGTCCCACATATATGTTCTTTATCTAGACTTTGGTAATCTACACCATGGCTTTACCCATGTACTTGGAGTCAGGGCTAATCATTAAACCCCTGTAATTACCTACTTCTGCCTTTATTAGGTTCCCAACAACCCTAATACCCGCATTTGAACCATTTTTTTACCCGGATTCTTTATCGATCTCTCCTTTACTTCTAGCCGGCAACCCGAAAGAGTCGGTCTGCCCAGGCTTTAGGTACCTGAAGGACACCTCCCCTTGGTACATACTTTCAGAGCGTATGTCCTTTTTCTTTGGTGCGACAGAACCTGGTGGTTCGGCTGGTATGTCCTCCACCATTAGGACCTGGTCATTCGGTTTCTGATCTCGGGCCCCGGTTCGAATTCAGCCCTCTTGTAATACCATCAAAGATCATCATTACTCCTAACTCGAAACTTCCCAAATAGATTTTTGGTTATGCCAGTTCCTCGGATTTATTGTGCTATTGCTTCTATTACTAGATAGTGTGACCAAAGTTACAGATTAGATCCAACCGATATGTATAACCGTCAACTAAACACAAATTTATTTTTCAAATATCGTTGTCCATGGGATTCGAACTCTAGACCTGCCACTTGGAGAGGGTGATGACTAGACCACTACACTAAGTTGCTATATCTTAGTTAAATAGTTATTTATTTATATTATAATTTTATAATAGTTTTATATTGCCTAGTTATATTAAAAATCAATCAAATATTACACATTATATAATCTTTTTTAAATTAAAAAAAAAAGTCTAATTGAACTACAGTATATATGAAGTACCATATTGTGACTAGGGCTTCGACGGACCCGAACTGAGACTGGACTGTAGGTAAGTTCAAGTCTGGTTTGAAATTCGAACCAGACTCAAACTCAAACTATTTTAAAGCTTAGTTTGGTCTGGGTTCGAATATCAAACTTTTGGCTTGGTTCAAGCCTGGTCTGAAAGTTTGCAAACATGTTTGAAAGTTCGAAACCTACTTGAGCTTATTGAAAAAAATAAATAAAATATTTAAAGCTATTATTATAATTTCTGAAACATGTGAAAAAATTAGCTAAATAATTGTTTGGCCGATTCAGTTAAACTAGTAATTTGGCATGATCTATTATATAATAAAATAATAAAATCTGTTATAACTAATTATAACAATGATGTCAATGTTATTAAATTTTCATTCTAATGCTTGTTCAACATGCTTGGTATTTATTTTGCATGAAAATTTATGGAAAAGACTGCATATATCAACCAATAAACCTTAGTAAGAAATTTAAAAAAGGAATTGGATATAAATTAAACTTTTATAACAAATATATTACATGAACAGGTGTTGCTATTAAAAAAGTTTATATAATCATTAATTTGTTAACTAGTTGAAAAATGAATCTCAGATTAGAATTCCAAGCAACCAATATATTATTAATATTTGTAGAGAATATATAAAGAATTATCAAAGTAAAAAATTTTTTATGTTTATATTTATTTATATATTAAAAAATTTTAATACTAATAATTAAAATTAATTCAAAAATGAGATTAAATAGTATCAAAGTGGATTTAGAATTAAAGATTGTCTATCTGAAGTAGCTAGTTTAAAAGACTTGCTGATATCTAAGTATTTAACAATTTGTTGAACTGATAAAATTTCTAAAATTTTTTCAACAATTTGTTAGCGAAAATGCTTTGTAAATACATTTCTAGAGATATTCTAAATTTTTTAAAAATAAATTTTTTGTCTTCGACAAGAAACAAAATATAATTAGACATAAATAAAGACTTCATTTATTTGAATGAAAATGAATCTTGCTAAAGAATAAGTATTAAAATTTTACACAATTTTTTAAAACCAAATTTTTGTCAAAAATAATTAGAAATGAATAAAGGCTTTATTTGAGCAAAAATGGATCATGCCAAAAAGTAGAAATTGAAATTTACAACTTACAAGTACATGTTGATATTTATTCTTATTGTAATATAAATTATATTAGTTATCTGATTTTATTAAATTACTATCTAATATATCTGTTATTGAATCTTATTATTCCCAAAATTCATAACTAAACCAAATCGGCTAAAAAATTATTTGGCTAATTTTATCAGGTGTTTCAGAAATTATGGTAATAGCTATAAACAGCATTATAGCTAAATTAAACTTCGTGAATTGCTCTAAAATTTATCCCAAATTATTGTCAGAATGGTGGGTGTGAGCGAGCAATTACAAGTTTTAGATATTGATAAGGAGGCATCTATAAATAATGTTATACTTGAGGAGAGAGGAGGTTCCCCAAAATATAATGATTTTACAATATTTAAAGAGAAGTTCCCCAAAATATAACACAATTTTTTTATAAAAATTTGTCTAAATTTTGATCCAGTGGTCCAAATTGGATAATTTTGGTACTATTCGAATCGTCTCGATGCGAGGAGTCGAATGGTACCAAAATCATTTGATTTGGATTACTGAATCATGTTTTATTAACGAAATACTATTGGTTATTATGTTTTCTTATAAAATTACTATAAAATCAATAGTATTTTGTTAATAAAACATTATCCAGTGGTCCAAATAAAATGATTTTGGTACCATTCGATTCATTTCAGTGAGACGAATTCAATAGTACCAAAATAATCCTGATTGGATTACTAGATCATAATATATTCAAGTTTTTGTAAAATTTTATATATAAACATATGAATTTTTAAAAATTTTTTATATAGTCTAGGGGGGGTCAAGAGATACTATGTAGGGGTACATAATGTTATATATGGATACCCCCTAATATTAATATAATAATC